AATACTATGGAATTTGACCACTTTTTTTTACTGAATACCTTTGTGATTATGAGTAGAAGAAGAAGATGAAGAAATGGAATTGGTTTCTCTAACCAGTATGATCTCATCTACTTGATAGTGGTCACATCCATTAAAACTAATCAGTAATCCTCCTTACCGACATTATGATAACTGAAAAATGCCATAGATTATTGTACTTTCCAAATATCAAGTACATTAGAGGTAAAGCTGATTTAGATTAGAGGTTTGCTCACAATTAGTCCACGTGATGAAGTTGAATAACGCTAAGAGAACAATATTTAAAGAATGAGATGATATCACTTTACTTCGCAAGATTTGTACTGGATGCGAACAGTTGCAGATACAGCTTACTGGCAAGTGCCAACAAGCTTGAAACTTAGATTCAGGACTTCCTGCTGACTGCCTCCAACCAACTGACATCTACCAATGTGCATAGCGATGCTGAGCCTCCTAGCTTGGTGGCCACATTGCAAATATGATCGATAGAATTCGGTCCGTACTCACGATTAGACAGTATGAAATTGGTTGCTGTTCCATGACCAGTTAATGTAAGTGTATGATCAGTTAATGAATGCAAACATCCATGTAAGATTTGTGATATTAAGTCAAACACTGAACAGACAGGTGGCGGTGGTGGTGGTGTAGACATGGGATTAAGCACTAAGGCAGAAGATTCACTTCTGGACTGGATCCCAGTTGATAGTTGCCTGTGCACTATCCGACTGAATGGCACGGTGAGAACTAAAAGGAATAGGGAGACTCGCTGTTGTCTCTGCTTACGCACCCGCTGACTGTGGTTTGGGTGAAGTGAAGGACGAGTTCTACTGTAAACTGTCTAGCCTCCTCTCCAAAGCCAAACGTCTCGGACGTGGTTGTTGTTGCAAGAGACTTCAACGCTTAGGTTTGTAGATTGAGTGAGGCAGAAAGGCACTTAGGTGGCACTTTCGGAGTCCCGGCTGAAGGTGCAGATAACGGTGTTCGGTTACTACAACTGTGCTCAGATAACCGCCCATTTTTAGCGAACACAAATTTCAAACATAAAGAAAGACACTGTCTGACATGGCGTCCACCGAGCTCAACTCAGCGATCGATACAGATAGACCACATTGCTATCGGTCATCGCTGTAGAGGATCTGTGGAAGACTGCCACTCCTTTCTCGAGTACGTCTTTGGATACCGACCACGTGTGTATGTTTGCTTCTCAATGGACGTAAGAAAAATTTGGTAACAAAACCACTACGAGTGTTGCTGGATAGCGAAAACACCAAAGCCGTGTACAGTGAGAAGTTGGCTAGGCAGTTATCGGAACAGAAGACTCACTCATCCAGAAGAAGCTTAGTGCTATTCCCAGTCTGTTGTAGAAGCAGCGTTGAAGACTGTAGCAGACTCCGAAATAGTGGCTAAAAAGAGCCAGTGGATGTCAGCAGCTTCTTCCGAACTAATGGATGCACGTGAACGCATCCCAGTAGGCTCTGTGTACAATGAAGAGCGAGCGCAACTTAAAAGTAGACTGAGAAAAAGTTAACGCAACGACCGCGAACAGTGGTGGGCAGCGAATGCTAAAGAGATGGAAAAGGCAGCGGCGATCGGTAATAGTAGACAGTTATTAAGACTTATTAAGGAGACTGGGGGGGGAGGGAAAAGGTTAACTGCGGTTAGTGAGGCTATAGCGGAGAAGGACGGATGTGTGATTTAGTCGCAGGGGAGACGTCTGGAATGATGGACCGAACACTTTGAGGAGCAGTTTAACTGGTCTCCAGCCACCATTGTGTTGCCCGCTATCCAGTAGGATGGAACATTGAGACAGGCCCCTCAACACTAGCAGAAGTCAAGAAAGCGGTAGGCAACCTGAAACGAGGACCAGACGGACTACCTGCTGAGGTATAGAAGGATGGTGGTGGAGTGCTCTTAATCAGGTCAATGTAAGTGTAAGCTGGTTAAGTCACTGATTATCCCAGTCTTCAAGAAAGGCAAGAAGTCCTCTTGTGATAACCACAGAGGAATCAGCCTGACGAACATAGTGTCTAAGATCTTAGGTCCTATAATTTCTCGACACCTGAGTGGAGCTCGGGAACAGCAAGCCCGAGAAAACCAGGCAGGCTTTAGACCCGACCGCGGATGTACCGACCAAATATTCAGACCGCTCCAGGTTTTGGAACACAGACACGTTTACCGACGCCCGACACTGGCTGTATTTCTCGACCTGAAGGCGGCATTTGACTCCGTTAATCGAGAAGTCTTATGGCAATGTCTGTCACTGAAATGCGTGCCGAGTAAGTACATCACCTTATTGAAAGCTCTCTACTCGAACACTTGTGGGCGTGTTACAGCCTATGGTGAGATGTCCAGGGAGCTATGCTCATCGAGTGGTGTCCATCAGGGGTGCCCACTCTACATTCTTATTAAATTTTATCATCGATATTCTCATGGAGGTTTCACTCTGGTCACCTGATTACACAAACGTTTCCCAAATCGCAGGAGAATTTTCGTTAGACCTAGAATACGCAGATGACATAGTCCTGTAAGGTGAAGACGCTAAGAGTAGAGGTTAGTCAGTTGACGAGATTATGGACCTTGATCGATTGAGATGGTTGGGACACGTGTTACGTGTGCCTAGTCGCCGATTGCCTCATCATACAATGTTGGCCGAGGTAGGTTCAGACTGGAAAAAGGCCCGAGGTGGCCAGACTAAAACATGGCATCAGTGTGTGAAGTGTTTGACTTTTGGTTTTAGGCATGTAAGGCGATGTAGACTAGTCGGTTGGGGTCTGGGGGGACAAGAGGAACCAGCGGTTGGAGACTCTAGGGGATATGGCTGAGGCTGTGAGTGGCGCAGATATATACATACACTATCCTCATCTTAATGATGCTATACCGAATCTCACTATTTTTCATTCTTCCTTTCCCTTTTTTGTACTTTGTATTTCTTTTGACTGGGTTTTTTTTCATCTTGCACTTCACTGCCTTTTACTTGATGTAGTGATATGGGGTGTATCAACTCGGACCGTTATACAGTAATGCCTGGTCCTATGTTGGTGATGATGATCACACACTTAAATATTCGAAAAAATTGTTCGTACAGTGGAAGATACTAGTAATGTTGCAGATAGTTGGAATCTATGTCCACGAAGACGTGGACCTAGGTTTCTGGCTTGTTGACACTCATCTTGCCGATTGTATCCAACCATCTGACATCAGTCAAAGTGCACCGTGCAGCTGAGTCTCCTAGCCAGGTAATGCATTGCAAACTGGTTAATAGAATGCAATCGCTACCTAAGGCTCAACAACATGAGATCCGTTACTCTCTATTGACCAATCAAGATACCGATAACGTTTGAATACGAAAGTTCTCAAGAGTAAACTCCTCTGAAATATTAATGGATGTTATCTGAGTTCAACGAGTCATATTATTTCGGAAGCTGCACCTGAAAAACATGCAATTCATGTCACTTTCTCAATCGATAGCAAAAATCTTTGTGTTTTACTGTTATATTTTCGTTCGACCACTATCTTTTCATAATCGTTATATGTCTGTTTCACTCATCTTTCCCTTAAGCATATGAAAATCACAGTTACTTAGTATCTGTGACTCATTCATTCAAGCATTCCAAATATTGGACATTTATTCATCAGCGTTAACCCTGCTTTATGTATTCCATTGGTAGCTTATAGGTATCCTAAGCCTTTATACAATAACTCCTACCTACACTAGAATGCATAAAACTCCTATTTCGCATTTTTCCAGATCATTCTCAATGAGTATTTTCCAGCTCAAATGAGTTTCTAACTTGTAAGGATGAATACTTGACCTTTATTTTATATAGATCATAGATAAAAACTATTGTCTATTGTTTTTCCATTAGTATTGCTGCTACCCGACGGAAGACACTGATCACTTTCGTAGCTGAAATTTGTTAGGCTCATAGTTTACCATATTCTCCACTATCCTATGAATTGATGTAAAAATTCATTTGAGATATTTTGTCAAAATTATTGATGAGAAACATGAAAGATCATTTAGACTGGATTTACTATAGTTTGTAAACGAATAAGGTGTGTACTTTGAACTTCTGGTACCATTACTTTGTGATAGATTCGTGTTTCTTCAGTATTGATGAGTATAAATGTAAAGTATATAAGCTTACATAAAGGGTTAGAAAACTTGACTGACACTGTGGCATCTGTTAGTTGCACATATCTTGGTTATTATGTAGTATAAACGATGAATTGTTGTTTTTCGGTTCTTGTTTTGCTGATTATCCGAGATCACTTTTCCAACTTAACCTGTCACCTTTGTGTAGTTTTTTCCACCTCTTATGAAAATAGTTTCTGTTATAGGGAAACTTGGATATCCAGTAGTCACTGTACGGCATTTGAAGTTATTTAGCTTAGAGTTACACTCTAGATTTCAATTTTTTTAATATTAAAGTATTTGTCAAGTAAAGACTATCGAACCACAGCATTATTATTATTATTATTACTAGCATTATTATTAGAACACAAACGATACACCAAGGGCACCAAAAATTGCTCCACACAAAATAATATCGCAACATTATGGAGATATAAAACTAAAAGAAGTGGATAAATAAGAAAGAAAAGCACAATAAGAAAGGAATGATAAGAAGGGGTGTCCCATTAGATAGACTTGATACAAAATATCCATTGCCTTTCAGCAGGAAAAGATAGAAGGAAGCTGCAGTATGACCGCCATTGGTTTCCATTTTGAGCCATATCTGATAACGTCTCCAGCTACTGAGTTGCGTGATCTCTCGGACCCCACCCAGTGAATCGTGATGCACTAACAGATGATGACCCAATACAACTATACTTCATCCTATGGCGCCATGTCATACACTGGCCACCCCTTCGCTTCTTCCATCCATTCCCATGGTTAGCAAACAATGAACGGCGTGAAAGCCGTTGGGACGACATTCGTAACACATGTCCAAGTCACCGAACCCGGTATTTCCAGATGACTTCACTTATTGAATGACGTTCTGCATCATACCCAAACACACGCTATCGTACTTCGGAATTACTTACGTGGTATTGCCACCGTATACGAGCCATTATACGGAGACAAGAATGATCGAACAAAAAGAGTTGTCGTACATCCTCAGGTTTCATAGGCGTCGATTAGAACTGCTCGCGCTGAAATGTTGTATTCCTGATCTTTTATAGTAAGACCAACGTCGTGACGGCACGAAAGTTGGCCTAGATTGATGTACGCTGCTCTTTCTTTCGATATGCGGTTGGGAATGTCATCACTCACACCTCCACTAGCATTTGGACAACTACCCAGATACATGAACGTTTCGACTACTTCCAACGGCTCACAACTGAGGCTGAGAGCAGGCATAGGCTCCTGCCAAGCTTGCATAAGTACTTTGCATTTCGATGGTTCAAAGCACATCATACTTATGGAAAACCACTAGCTGTTATCTTTTCTGTTTATATATTTTGAACAGTAAGGACTATCTTGCAGCGTTGGAGTCATGGGTGTGTACTTTTGAGTAGTCCCATACTAGGGCTAAATAGTTTTCCAACCGATGTCACTGCATGATGAATTGTACCATGAAATGAATGAAATCCCCATGAACCCTAAACTAAATAACTGTCTAGTGCTCATTATTGTCATGCCTTTGAGATGGATATGCCGAAGTCTTAATGCGACACCGTGACCTGTGAGGTCAGCGAAGTCGGATTCTAACTGATGACCTTGGTTTGTAGTCGCGCTATGTCGTGAACTGACAGAAGTAGGATACTGTGGGCGATTAAACCCCAATCCAGTGACTGAGTGGTTAACGCGCTTGTCGCGAGACGTGAAGGTCATGAGCTCGATCCCTAGCGGAGTCTTGATTGCGTACTGCTGAGAAGTTGTGTAGCAAGACAAGATGACTGTCCAGTACTCCACGGTTTTCAATGATCCTTTAACTAATATCAGTCTGTGGTGAATCCCACCTCTAATTAAATATATCGCCACAGACTTCAAACTAAACCCTCATTCTGTTTCTATTGTTTGTATGAGCTGTTTCAAATACTACAGTTGTATAGTCGCATGATTCATGAAAATGCCGAAAGGATAAATTGATATAATGAAAAGCTACTTTTTAAGTCTTCTTTGATGTTTATTCTTGTGACATTCTGAAAGCGAAACAAAAGAATTAATCACATGAATAAACTTGCTGAAACAACTGTGACAAAATTGATTTTCTGTCAGATATAACAGTGACCATAATTGAAAATGCTGAATAACCAACTTAATTCCACGCAGTTTTTAAAAAAACTCATAAAGAGTTATAATCTCGACTATGGATAACCATATGTGATAGTGGTTTTGGATGTTCTCTAAACTTTGGTATTTTGCTATAGACCTTTCGTCACCAGGCGTGTTTTACACCTTTAGCACTAACTTCATAAAGGGAAGTCTTTGAGCTGCAAGTCGTTGTCATCATTTCAACAAACATGTATTTTTTCAAGTGATATCTAGCATATTATCCATTTCTGAATTCTCTTAGTATCAGACTCATTGACTCTTCCAGTTTTTACAGATAGTATAATTGGATTATTTGGTAATATTAACAATACTCAAGTTTTTCAGCATATCTCTTGCAGTAACAGAATTTTCGAGGCGTGTTTACACCTTTCAAGCATAGAACGATGCCTCAAAAACAGTATCCATCGTGATATATTTTCACGATAGCTGCTTATTTTCATCATTGCAGAATCTCTTATTTGAATTAGTCCTAATGAACTGTTCTCTTTGTTGCCGATAGCTGCTGCGTTAACGTGGTGGTCGCGATTATACATCGCAATGACCTAGAGATCCCCACTGGTTGGAGCACTTGGTCCCTCGAGGACCTACCATACCAGAAAGGTCCGTTGGGTAGTGGTAAGACGAAAAGCAGTTACCGTTGTAACGTAAATTATTACACTATGATGAGGGAAGAATTTGTACTGCTGCAAGCTGGATGGGGTGTAATTACGGCAAGGTGTTTCCTTTGGATGAACAACGGTGTGACGCTGATGCTGCTCTCCCAATGTGAAGATGGAGGTCAGAAAAGGTCGACCCCAGAAATAACACACTCCACCATCTCCCACGGTCTCTCAGTGCCGGCAGTATAGGTTTTTGGTCTGTATGGCGTTAGAACAATCATACCTCAAAATAACAACCCACAAAACGCCGCATATAACAAGTCTCAAGCAGATGTCCCATGGTCCCTGCAGTCAAACAAATCTTTTTCGCTTTCAGGTACCTTACGAATAAATAGCCTTCCAAGGTGTGCTCAGCCGGTAAGTGTCAAATGCCCGTACGCTTCGCGTAGTACACAAGACCCAATAGAATACTTTTTTTTCCCCTCCTTGAATCAATCTTTAGTTGACGAATTATAAATTCATTTGTGGTTGAAAATTTTTTCTTGTCTTTTGAGGTCTTTTATAAAAAGAAAAAATCTGTTTCTACCTATATTCCTGTCTAATTTTAGCATTTTCCTGGTTTTATAGTGATAACTATTTTCTGTCTACGATTCATTGGTATATTTGTATGGTTTCTTGTAAAAGATAGTTTATAATTGGTTTCGATATACGTCTTTTCACTTTCATTGCGTTTTTTTTTGTGTCCGACAGTAAACTATGTTCACCGGACTGTAATTGGCCCACGGATTCATATCCTGTTTTAGAGCATCTTTTCCATTCAGTAAGTAATTCTTAACTTCAATTCAGACATATGCAGTTATCTTTGTTGCTATTTTAGTTGATTTCAGTATGATGAACTAAAAACACACACTTTGGTTCAACCAATGACATATCCTATGTATATATAGGTATTCATCATCGACTGAAATCCGTTGAAGAAACGCTAAAAACTTGAAAGCACTGGACAGCTGTTTCGTCCTGACATGGAACTCTCCAGCAGTATGCACCCATGACCCCACACCCCCAGGAATAAAACTCAAGGTATTCATGGTCTGCAACCACCACGTTCCATTTTGCCACTGGATGAGTAAGCATTGCTAAAGCCAGAATTTCTCAAATTTTTGCCAGTGTGTGACTGATCATCAGCTACCACTTTAGTCATTCTTCATTGTGACAACAAGAAAATTACCTACCTAAATTTATAAATAAATTCATAAGAAATCGAAAGAAAAATGCGAGCAGTAATAGTTGTAGTAGCACAGTTGTCATTAATAATAATTCTACTAATAACTATAATAGTGGTGACAGAGTTGAGAGAGAATTCAGACTCCTCTGTGTTACAATAAAGTTATAGTACACAAAGAATGCACCTCAGATGGGTCACCAAGAATTCTGAATAAGGCTGGGGTTGAAGTGCCATTCAAACCAAAACACTGGCATTGAGACAAGCTTTGTAGGTGAAACGATCTTATTGATGCAGTTAGGCATAAGAGTGTGGTATACGAAATCCGTTGCAATGAATTACGAAGTCAAATACATAGGGCAATCAAAGTATTCAACTGGTCAGAGTCGATTAGAATAAGAGAGCAAAAAAACTTAGTTAAATCAAGCTTACTATATCATAATAAGATGTGAAAATTGGAGAAATGCTTGAGTATAGCTCTGTACACAATCAGGCAGTAGGTTGGACTAGAGCGATAGCGTTACAAACTAACAGTTGGGTTCAGAGACAGATTGATAACCGGGTCCTTTTTTATTGAGATGACACCGATTGTATACAGTCATAGAAATGATCCTGTACCTGTCTCAGACATATGGAAAATTCTACTACCGTTTTTATCCCATTGAAGTGGAGAAAATTAGGACTATATAAACTGTGTTTTAAAGTTGTCGAGTTAGTTACCTGCTATGAATATGGACGATAAATGATGTTCGAAAGGTTATTGATGCTGTTTCATTGAGTGACACATCTAATGAACAGACTGAAATAGAACTACAAACTACCACGCTGCCGAGGTTTTACTCCTATATTGACGGAATAATATCAGCTGACCAATATTACTGAGTTGTATGATATTCTGTATTTCTTTAATTACTGAGACAGGCATATATTATGAAAAAGATTGTTTATGGAAAGATTAATTATACAAAGAAGCGAAGTGTAGTGTTTTGTTTATGATGATGAGGAGTAAAGTTTTATCTGTAAGAGGTTTGAAAGGTTCACTGATTATTTTGATGATAATGGCTGACCTGACTAAAGGATGACATCATTCCATATAGTCTCATTCGTGTGGGATAATGTGGATAGAGGAAATTGATTGTTGGAGGTCGTAGATGATTTTGCTAGAAAGAAGTCAGTCTGTGGTACGCAGATACTTCTTGGCATTATTATCATTTAATCGTCTTATCACACTTTGTAATTGTTTTACGCCTTCTTCCTCTTTGATTATGACTTGGACTACACGTTTTTGCGTACTATTTTTGTATGTTGCATCTTGGTTCCTTGGATGTTGATGTGATGATGAGGGGCATGGCATGGCAACATGGAATGTTACGCAATAATGTCAGGTCTCATTTTGTTGTTGTGAGAGTCAATGATTCTGAATGGTGTTTTTAGCTTGTCCAATTTAGATATTGATATGACTACGATTGTATTGTCTGCAGAAAAGAACTTTATCGCTTTGATACAGTGAGTAACCTCTGAATTTGTTTTTGTCTATCAACACTCTTCCATGCTATAGAATTATGGTGTTAGTTGTTAGAAATCAATGTGGGGGGGGGGGATGTTGGCTTTGGTTTTTTCCTTGCATATATGTCATCATAATTACCGGAGAGAGTTAGGTGTCGATGAAAGCTAACTAATATTTATTATTTTTGAGTTAGTAAAGATGAAGGCTGCAGTTCGTTTCTAACGGGAATTTTATTTGTAATTAATGTGCAAAGCTCTCTGATTCTCCACTTATAAATGGTAAAGGGGGATGGTATAGTTGATTTATGACTTATTTAATATAATTTGGAGGTTTGTGGTGATTTATTGATTTCAGGTTGGTATTGATCATGAAGTGAAATGAGTTAGAGGAACATTGGAAAGTTGGAAGCAGTGAACAGTTGTTTGTTTGTTGTATAAGACTCCTCAGGAGTACGCCTCCATGCCCGCACATCTCCAAGGATTGAACCCAGGACACTTAGGTTCGATGACCATCATGTTACCATTGAGCCAGTGGGTCGTAATCCACTGTGTTCCATATTTCCAACTTCTGTCATTTGACTACATAAGGTGATCATCCCTGAGTATCGTCGTTGAGTATTTGTCCTGACGACGATGGAACCTTAAGGTGTTTGGTCCGATTGCTGGGGTTTCATGGGTTTGTAGTGGTGAGTAGCTCGATACTAGGAGGGAACATCTGTCTAATACTGCTAGGTTTCCAGTGTTCATCCAAATAATTATGGGATACCACTTAGGTGAATGTTTGGAATGCTCAACAGGGTAAACATGTTAAGTAGGATATTGGTTCACCTTTTAGTTGGTCCTGCTTGAGATATTTCAAATTCACTGTTATTTACCAAGTGCTACTGGTCTTATTGCTCAAGTTACGGAAGGTGTCATGTATTCCTACGGTCACGTAATCTGTACTGTTCACGCCTGATTCTTTTGAGCACTCGAAACTGTTTTGAGCTGTAAATCACTGATGAAATATAGTGGATGCATCCTATTTTGCTGATAGCCTTATTCTCACCCAGTTTAAATTTTGTTAAGAGAAAGACCGTTCATGTTGATTTTGACTGGCTAACTGACTAAAGCATAAGAATTTAGATGGAATTTTCCACATAACTGATTTAATTTATTTTCAAAGGAATTAATTACTATTTATTATTATTTATTTGTTTATTCATTTATAAATTCTTATTCGAATTTCTCAGGTTTTTATGCATTCACTGTCGTCGTCGTCGTCTGATTTATCTACTTCGAAACTTTTTGTGAAAATTTCGAACAAATTTTACTCAGAATTTCAAAAGGATATAAACCTGAGAAAATCAGCAAAATTTACTAACATGATCATCAAATTTTTACGCAGCTTTGTAAATTATCATGTACGATTTTTTGATTCTTTATTTACTAAAATTATAATTGTTTTGCTTTTTCCTACTTTATAAGTTTCTATATATCTCCTTATCTTCTGTGTATTATGTTTATCTCTCAAGATATTTTCTATCACACGTTAACGTTATTCAAACATCAATTGTAAATCGGTTGTTTTTAGCAATCTATTTGATTGTATTTTAAGAAACTGAACAACCCTAAACTACTAGGTAATGAGGTATTCCATAAGTCTGACGATCAATGATACTATCTTGCTTCTTGAACCGATGTAGATTAAGTAGTCTTGAACTCGTAACCCTAATGGTTAGTAACTGGTGACTGCTTTTATCACGGAAACCCATCTTCCGGTTGTAGCGTAGGATTAGTCCGTAATTGGCCCACATGACTGAACCACTGGTATAAAAAAAGTAGTGAAACTGAGTAACTTACAACCAAACGTTAGTCAACGTTATTCCAGCTGAGTAGTACTCATTGCGGTGTGTTTCAGCTACAAAGAAAAGAGTGGTATTATCCTGCCTAAAATGTGATCAAGAGTCTTTCCAATCATCAATCATAAAAAGCGCAAGAGAGACGAGGGTATTAACATTCAGTAACAAGTTGGTCCAGGAAATCAGCGAAGCCTAATAATGCATTTTTTTGATAAATGACTTTCTCTCCGATAGTTACTACCTTGAAGTAGTGGTCAGACTTACATATCACAATGACCCAAGAAGCTATGCTGGTGAAACGCTTGTTCCCTCTGGGTCCTATCATACCAGGAAGGTTTATTGGATAGTGACTAGACGAAAAGAATATATCGCTATGATTGAGGGTGTATGGCCGAAGTAAGGTGTTTCCTTTGAATTACCAGCAGTGCTACTCTGACACTACCTTCCCTATTCGAATGGAGGTGAGAAAAAGTTGGCCTTAAAAACAGCACATTCCATTCCGTCGTGCAATATATGGTTACCGGCGATTCAGTTTCATAATGGAATTCATAAAAACAAACTAAGATATCAAACTTCCGAAACGGCCATATATGACTGGTCTCAAAAAGATGTCTCTTGAGCTATGTGGTCACGTACTAACCCTTCTTCTTCAAATTTCTCAAGAGGAACTAACTTTTCATGATGTGGGCAGTTGAGAAGTGTGAACCACCCACATAACTTTTTCAGCACTCAAGTCTTATCTGATCATTATCAACCTTCTACATCTTTGCTTCTTAATCTTCCTTCACGTCTCTCGGTCGATATTCATACACCATCTTCAGTTTCTTCTAACTTTGCTTTTGAAATGTTAATGATTGTTGATCGTGTTAGTTGAAAAACTGAATTTTAGCTCTGTTGCAATGACTGTAGTGAAATGAACATAACCGATACAGTCTACAAAATTCAAGGATTCCTAGTAAATCAACATACATGTAAGCTGTTTACTTTCCGTTAGTACAACTTGTGATCGGTTTTATGGTTTCAGAAATAGATGTTTTAAAAGAATTCACACATCTTGTATCGGATATATATGGAATCAGTCGGTTCATTACGGTACTGTGATTACTTTGACTAAACTAAAGTTATAGTGTACATGTATAAGATTATATATTCAGTGCGATTTTCACTGAGTGTAACATTTGTTCAGAAGTTCTTGTTCGAAATCAATTTATTGCGTAACTAGTTTGTAGAGATTAATTTTAGTAATGGGGTTGACTAGTGTAGAATACGCAAACGCTATCGGTTTTTAATTTTACCTTGATTTTAAACTTATTCTCAAAATCTATTTACTATTCAATAAAAAGGAACAGTCAGTTATAAAGAAGCAAACTCAACGTTACTGTATACAAACAAAAGAAGTCAACCAATAACATAGATGCACACTTTTTAAAAGAAAACTAGAGGTTAACTGTCAACCAATCTAGTTCAATATGCACCGACACACTGACCAACCGAACAATAAGGTTAAGTCTAGGCAAAGTAGCACTTTATAAACATCTGCGTAAAATATAATGATGATGATGATATTGAGACGGTTGCAAGATAACATCTCGTTTTGAACGTCTACATAATGAACTACAAATATTCTCCACCATATCGTTCAACCTTATTAATAAGAGTTACAGTTGTGCAACTTTAAACAGTCTAGGTCTTGTCACTTTATTCAATGTTGTTTTCTACCTTGACTGGTTAGTGATGAAGGTTTTCACAGGGATATTTGAGTTATTTCTCACGACAGGAATGTATACATCATTATTTTTATTGCTAATCTATATATTCATTGTGTGAGGTGTACTTGTGTAATCTTGCCGTAATAATATATTAGAACAGATGACAAAATAAACTACTGTCTTGTATTATTCTAAGCAATCCATGAGGTGGCTATCTTGACTCAGTGGTCTAGTAGATAATGCTCTGGCGTTTGAAGCGATCGGTCCTGAGTTCGAGTCCTAGCGGGGATAGGTGCATCTAGCTGACTAGTCCTAAACAGGAGGGAACGCACCTCCTGGATTCCACTGCTGGCCACTACCCATCATTAATATACAATACAATTCATTATTGGTTAGGGAACGTTGAAATCTTTATAATTGCTAACATTAGTTATTGACTGGTAAGCTGATTGTATTTTATTATTACGTTTTACTCCATAATCTGTAAATATATTACTTTATTTTTTGTTTTAGCCATCGTTACCGTTTCCTGAGGAGTCCAAGTCTATATTGAAACAGTTGGCAAATGAAAACTGCAGTTTTCTTCGTAACACATTGATTAATTTAGTTTGCTAAAAACAAAATGTGCAGATTAGATCTTATTATTTTGTGTGTATATATTTTATATTTCGTAAATCCTTTAATAAACTACAATAATCAACTAGATTTTGTTGTTCTCATATTCCTATTGAAATTGTTTTTCTACATTCATTTATTTATATATTTTGTATTATTCTTATTATTATATAGAATAATGAATATTGGTGACAAATTTATTTCTAAACTGTTGGATACACAATTGGAAAGTGGTGGTGTATTCAGGTTAGTGTAATACTAAATGTTTAGTCATTCATCTAAATTTATCTCTTCTTCAGCAACTTGTTAGAATTACTTATGCTGTCATTCTATATTTCAATATACCATTCACTATAGAACCTTTGATAAGTTATATACCCAAGATCTGTGTGTTAGTTGTGATTAAAACAAGATATATAAACGAATAATATTGTTTTTAATTAGATCTGCTCAGGCTTCAATCTAATATATTTTACTTTCAATGAAGATATTAAGGAGTGAATACATCTCGAACTATTATGACCAATTTTAAGCCATGTAACATATAGTCCTTATCCACTAATTCCTTTCATCTCGGAGACTCCAACTGGGAAGAATCAACGGTCGAGGACTCTTGGTAACATGGCTGTAAAATCAGTCATAATAATTAAGATGTATTCACTCGGTAACATCTAAAGTTTGAATATTCGCGTTAACCTTTATCTTCAAAATGCTTATTCTCTCACACTACTTTATCCTCTTTAATATCACTACTTTTCTATCCACTTATTCTTTATGTATTATTCTGAAGTATGGAAACTTGAGCCGACCCATCTGTGTATAAGGTTTTGTTAGTAACATTTATATAGTTTGAAACATATTAGTTATTTTTACTGGGTGATAATTAAAGGTGAAGTGAAAATTTGAACCGCGACCGGATTCAAACCAGTGACCATCAAGTGCTCTACTAACTGAGTTACGAGGTCCAACTGCTGAGTAAATTTTTATTTCACTTCAGTCACCAACAGTTTTTACCTGACTACCATGTGAATTGAAGTGAAATAAAAATCTAAACAGCAGTCGGATCTTGTAGCTCAGTTGATAGAGCACCGATGGTCTCTGGCTCGAATCCGGCAACGGTTCAAATATTCATTTTACTTTCAATCAACACACACCATAAATACTAGTCTTCCAAACCTCGGGTATCTCAGATAGTCGAATGATAGTCAATATTAATTATTATTTATTTAATGACTCAATTTACATAGTATACTACGTATATTTTTGTCCATAATGCTGTTGAGAAGTTCAGATGTTATTTCATCCATCTCTAACAAACCTAAAGATTTTCCATCATTGCAGCACCTTAAAACTTTCACTTCTTGAGAGCAGTTTGTCTCTGTTTACTTCTACTTCTATAGGGTAATTCTCTTGGTCTGTTATTGTTGCACATGTTTTTGAACAATGACATTCAGTAAATCAATATACTTGTTAAATTCATTGTAGTCCAATGGCTAGTTTCTGCAGAATAAATTGATACCAAGATACCTTTCTATTGAAAGGGTGAGAGCTCTGAAAAGCTGTTTCGTCCTATCTGGGAATTTCTTAACAATACACGCCTACCACTCTATATAAGATATTGAGTTAATGGCTGTTAGATCCCGTGGTTACTATACAATCATTGGATTGAAATCCAACGGTCTACATTTATCTTCCTCTATTATTTCATAGCATAGCGTTATCATGTAAAATGAAAGGATAGAAGTAGGTGTTTTTCATAGTCCTAAATTTGAACCACAATAACTAAGGGAATTAAACAGACATATTTCATGCTTAAGACGGCTAGACACTGGCGCCAGTTGATGAAGTCCCTGACTGTTGGCTTAAACTGTATAGGGGAGATATAGACTGCGTGATTGGAGTCCCGGAGACGAAAAGAATCAGTGGTTAAAGACTTTTGGTGACATGGCTGACAATAGGTAACAATGGCGTAGATATATTCACTCCTTGACATCTTCTAAAGCTTGGATATTTACACTAACCTTTACCTTCAAATTGTGTTTATTCTCGTCTACTATGATATCACTCTTAGTCTATCCACCCGTTTCTTGTGTACTTATGTAAAGTGTGGCAACTTGACCTGATGCACCTGTGTGCAAGGTTCTATGTTGATTCTGTCTATCTGTCTATACTTTTCTGATTATACTGCTAACTGATTTCTCACTAGATGATATCAACTAAACTGTTCAAACCACAGCACACATAATTACTTTTGGAGTAATGGAACCGTGCAGCTGAAGTTGAAGGGAACATGTACTTAAATTACTTTAAAAACAGCTGAAATATGAAACTTTGATAGGCACAAGTAGGAGACAACCCTCTTCATCTGTAATCAAGCATATTATAAAAACGCATCATAGAATTAATGTTCAGACATCTTTTCAAACTTGATATGGAAGTGGTCAACACCGCATATCAGGACTTGTGAAAGCGATAACCATACAGCAATTGAAGTCATCGTTATGTTTACAAAAAGTGACTTGTTCTCACCACTACATCTACTTTGATGATCTTTATTTGTTCTAATCGCGAAAAACAGGAAGGATCTAAATATATTCTTCATTTATTATCTTTCATGCTTTAAATCTGCTATGAATGTGATGTATGCTGGGTGATGATTGAAGGTGAGATGAAACTCTGGACGGCGGCCACTTTGGAACCAGCGACCACCGGGCTACCGGCCCGGTGCTCTACCAACTGAGATACGACGTCCGACTGCTGACCAGAATTTTATTTCACTACAATCACCAAGGGTTTTGCTCAACCATCATGTGAATTTGTGACGCATTACTACCGCTTGATTCTACTCACATTGGACACCTAGTCAGGATTTCTCATCCCAATAGAAATGTAAGTGAATCAGAGTGGGGAAGGAGGTGTCATATTGATTATCATTTGACTACCTGAGATACCCATGGTTTGGCAGACTAGTATCTATACTGGATGATGAATGAAGATGAGATGAAAATCTGGACCGCAGCCGGATTTGGTCAGCAGTGGGACCTTGTAGCTCAGTTGGTAGAGCACCTAGCCGGTAACCCGGTGGTCGCTGGTTCGAATCCGGTCTCGGTCCACATTTTCATCTCACCTTCAATCACCACCCAGTATAAATACTAGCCTACCTCGACGTCTTCTAAAGCTTGAATATTTGCAATTACCGTTTTCTTAAAATTGCTTATTCTCTAACGGAACTTAGTCTACTTTGATACTAATCACTTTCTATCCACCTATTCTTCGTGTACTACTGTGAAATGTGGGAACTTTCAGTGTCAGTTATTCAGTTTAAGGTGATTTTCTCCATATGATGAAAGTTATATTAACCGAATCATTATTCGACTACAACTTGCCTATTGCCTACCGTATCAAGCTAAGCTAGATATATCTGACTAGCTGAGGTTTATTTCTGTAGTAATTACGAAACAAAATAAATTTATGCTATTATTAGGAAGAGTACTTGCAATGGATCGTTGTATTTTTCTAAGAAAGAGAAGTTATCCTTTTTCAAAGGAATCACCTTACATTTATAAATGTAAATAATATATTTATATGGTTACAAAAATGTCTTCAAACTTTGTATAAATAGACGGAATCATTTTCAATCTATAGGAAGTCAAAATCCAGAGGTTCAAACCAAAATAACCCACCATACTAAGCATACCATACTCATTTTGCTAAAATGCTTCATTTTCAACTGTTATATGTTCTTTGTTTGTCAATTTTGATGTCTTTCTTATGCATATATACATACCACTTTTTTTTGTCATGTTTTAGAGGTGAAAGAGTGTTCTCACCTAACCCACGAACTATTTATGGTGGTGAGCTTATGGCCCAAGCTTTGATGGCTGCTAGTAAAACTGTACCAGACGGTTATAGGCCGAACAGTTTACACTGTTACTTTCATGATCGATGTGAGTTCAAGTATAATCTATCTCATAAAATATTATTCTATTATGGTATTAAGGAGATCAATTGAAACTGACTCGGCTAATTAAATAATCAAGGTAAATTGCATTTTAAATGATTAGGAAAATCTGTGGGTTATTTATCATTTCGCCGATGACTTTTGTCTGTCACACAAACTTGAAGATCTACAGGCGAAAACTAATGAGTTGACAGAGGAGGCAGGGCAGCGACGACGGGACTTCAAGTGGACGTAGAGAAGACAGAGGTGATGAAGATGCTCAACCAACACCACCAATAACAACAAACTCCAGTCACCATCAACGAGAGGAACTTAAAGGAAGTAGCCTCTTTCACCTATCTAGGCAGCACTGTTTCAACTACAGGCGGCATAGGCACAGACGAGGATGTCAAAGTCAGAATCGGAAAAGCGAAACAGGCTTTCATTAGTCTGAAATCAGTGTGGAGATCTCCTGCACTCAGCATAAAGCGTGAACAAGATCCGGATTTTCGACACTAACGTCAAGTTAGTGCTGCTATGTGATGGTTCAGAAACGTGGCGCGTCACAAAAAGTGTTTCCAACAAACTACAGACATACATCAACAGCTGCCACCTACGCTCGCTCACTCGATACTGAAGATCAGATGGCCAGAAAGAATAAGGAAGGAGGAACTCTGGCTGGCTGGCAAAGAACCAACGAAGCAAAAAGCCATCGTCCAAGAAATATGCAGAAGAAAGCGGAGATGGATTGGGCATAATCTGAGAAGACCGATTGGGGACATCACACGCCAGGCCAGGCCCTCGAGTGGAACCCAAAGTGGAAACGATGAGTTAGGCGTGTGAGAGTGACATGGAGGAGATGGTGTGAGGAAGAAATGAAAGCTTATGGCCAGTCGTGGAATCATGTTCTAGACTTCAGAGGAGAGAGTGAAATGGCGACGTGCTACTGAAGCTGTATGTTCCACCAGGAACCCAAGGGACAAATAATAGTAATAATGGGTTGTTTATCATTTTACCAACATCTATAGAATAATGGAGTTTCTTTGCAAAACCTAGGAAGGATTGGATATCTGTTTCCGTCTAATTCCAAACTGTTCAATAGCTTGAGACATGGTATCTGTGTTGCAGTGATCTAATATGTAAGAAGTTGGACTGTCACGTAGTTATGACAGGCTCCATGTTGATACTGACTGACTGCATTGAACTAACAGCATCATAGTTTGGTGGTATGGCATTGAGCCAATTTTTTTTCATCAAAATCCTAAGTCATCCATCTCAGACAAACTACGTTTTCACGTCACTTACTTCTTCGGTTCGTTCATAACACTGACCGTATGTAACAGAATTGCGTATTCAGGAATAGTAAATTTATTCGTTAATTATTAGACGGAAGAATAAAGTCAATGAATGGATTTTTGAAAATCACATCGAAGGAGATTTAAATAAGACAACGTGTTGAACAAAGATTCAGTAATCAGTCTCTCACTTCACCTTTATTGGATTTGAATACAGTAGTTTTATCCTACCCTATTGTGTGTTCATGCATGCACTACAACAGCTGAGTTTTTTTCCAGATTATTGATCTTATTTGAGTCAGTCGTTCTGTATCTAGCTAAATTCCTATGTTCCGCTATACTAACTGACACTGGTCGGCTAGTTTGACCTATGTATGTGACCTTGACCTCACAGTCATTACATGGAATCTGATGGCTTAGATTATTTTGCTTAATTGGTTCTGTCGGATCCTTAAGCAAGCCGAGTGGGTCTATAGGCTTAAATGTCACCCTGATTCTAGCTTTGTTGAGGACCGTACGTAAAGTTTCTAATGTAACAATGGAGGCTTTGAACTTACTTCTACTCGTGTTGTCGTTATTATTCATTCTCATTTTACTGTTATCATTTCGTACGAATTTCTTAATAAACTGCGGAAAATGGTTATTAACTATTAGCGTTTCTTTTATGTGCTTCAATTCCTTGTTTACGTCGTTGCACTAACTAATCAGTTTTCTAGCTCCACCACTTAGACATTTGACTAAATCTGCGTTAACTGACATTGGATGAGATGACTTGAAGTTCCTATACCTGTTAAAATTTTGTAGACGGTAGTATCCAAACCATGCTCTGTCCTTCGTTTTATCCTGCAGTCCAACATAGGTAATTCTCCTTGTTCATTTTCTACTTCTTAAGTGAATTGGATTGCGCCTAATACGAAGTTTATGTGTGGGTAAATCGTCGACATATTCCGATTTCAACACAGTGAATGTGTCATCCACATATAGCCACCAAGTCTTAGGTGGAGGACTAAACGTTTGTAACCCCATGGTTTCTCAACCAACCATTAGCGTACATCTGCTACGATTGGGGATATTGGCAATCCCATTGCTACTTTTTCTGTTTGCCTGTATGTTTTGTCCCGAAACTTGAAGACTGTGGAGATCAGGGACACCTGTATGCCTAATATGATCTCATCAGTCGAATGACTATTTAGTTGACTTCTGACTGCTTTCAGTGCCATATTGATTGGTATTTTAGTACAGACTTGTTACATCGAAGCTAACCATTTCTTCATCCTCTTCGATATGTAGGTCATGGAGCTATAGAGTTCTAACTCGTAAGAGTTTACTAGTCTGGTATTTGAGCGGTTCCTAATAGGACACAATATCGATGCTCAGTACTTTCCTAGTTCTTATGTTGGGTGTATTTCTTAAGTCAACTATGTGTCTGATGGAATAACCTGGTTGGTGAACCTTAACAGTGCCATAAATCCTGCCAGGATTATTAATTTTAGGCATTAAATTAAACCATTTAGACTTACGTAGAGATGGCTTCAGTCGGCGTATCAGATCGGCTGTAGATTTCTTAATTTTATTCATGACCGTGTCTAAAGGTTTCTTGACCTCTTCATATGGTCCTATTTGGAAATGTTCGTCAGTTTTGTTGAAGTAATCCAGTTTGTCCATAACTGCTGTTGAATTGCCTTTATCCGATTTAACAATTACTATATTATTGTCATTCCGTAGACTATTCAGAGCTGAATTTTCGAGTTTTGTTAAGTCTTATTGTCTCTTCTTTTGTTTTTTCAGTGTTAATGCACACTGTATTCTAACCTGTTCAGCAGTTGCTGCATCCACTGAGCTTATTAACGCTAATTCTGTGCTAGGTATGACATCTTCCGGTTTTAGATAATCAATTGTCACGTTAAAGTTGAGTCCCTTTTCGAAACAGAAGATAATGTTGCGCATACCATATCTAATGCATGAATGCTAATGCTAGAAGTCCCCCTAGAAATTAAAAAAAATAAAATAAAATGAATTTTCAACTTCGCACCTATTCGACGAAAATCTTGGACAATAGTGTACAGCTTTACATCGAATAAATTATTTGAACCTTATGTCAGTCACTGTAACTATTTACTACTCATATATATATATATATATATATATATATATATATATATATATATATATATATATATATATATATTGTAGACTGGAGCGGGATGAGAACCTTGCATAAAGACTGAATTAAACTATAAAGTCCAGCCATGATCATTAACTTAGATATAGAATTGTATTTGTGTAAATCATAGCTGGTTTGAAATCACATAATTCCAACGTTTTGCACAGTAGTCTGGCCCGAGCTTCTTCAGGGAAATAATCGAAATTAAAATATCAAGGATATATAAATGAATTCAAAAAACGTATATTTAATCTCCTTGTCCAATCATCTTCGTATAGTCATTGTCTTCCTAAATTATGATAACTAATCATACAGTGTGAACTTGTATGTCTTTTGTTGCATGACGTATGTATGTACTCCAATTCATATTCTCCTTGATTGTAAACATGAGACAAAAAGGACATTGGTGATAGTCATTTGGTAATTTATATATATATATATATATATATATATATATATATATATATATATATATATATATATATATACAAATTGAAAAGGAGGCGTATACAATTTCAGTTGAAGTAAAGTGGTGAATAGTGTTAACGAATTCTCTCCGCATTGATTTACCGATATAGAGTGTAAATGAGTGGTAGTTATGATAGTGGTGATGATGATGGTAATAATAATAATAAATCTGATCAGTGCGGGTTGTGTTGTTGTTGATGCAGAAATAATGGAGTTGAGACCAGTGTTTTGGGTCACTCGTTCTGTTTACTAATTAGTAATTGCCAAGAGGCAGCTAACTGCACTCCATCTCGTCTGTTCAAACTGTCTGGATTCGCCCATATATGTAGGGCCTCAGCTGTCAGTCTTTCTTGGTATGACCCAAAACCCTTTTGTACAACCTTAGTTTCTTCAAAGTCGATTGTGTCTCATTTCTATGGAATGTAACACGATTGCAGATTTGTTTTCTAGTTTCTTAACCCCTGCTGAGGTTTTTGGGATCTACTTTAAGTATAGTTTATGCTCACTGACTCTCACACTTACCTATCTGGCTGTTTCCCCTACATATACTACAGTACTATCTCCTCATTTGATTTCATAGACGCAGTTCTACATCCTTAACTTTCATTAAGTTAGAATGTAGGGTATTTGTTGCACGAAAGTAAACTCTTATGTTGTGTTTGTTGAGAATCCTTTACACAAATACAATTCTATGTCTAATGTCAACCTTTTACTCAGCGCCTAATATTTGCCATACTATACGATCAAATCTTGATCATAGTTTATATAAATGATCATTAACTGTTAATTTTAGTCATATATTAAAGTATTTTCTTTGTAGATGAAATTTACAATGATATATGAATTCGATAATTGAGAACTCCAGAGGATACTGTTCAAAATCGATTATAACGCCACATATAGATCTAATTTTTTTTCTAATGAATTTTGTATAGGGATTTATTCCATGAATTAAGAGGAGTGTTCAAAGCATTCTATGTTTGCTTCTTAAAAATCTTTTCATCTATTTTTCAAGCCAGCGTTGTAGAACCAAACAATTATCATGTCACCAAACTCCGTGATGGTCGTTCATTTTGTCATAGATTGGTTGAAGCTTTCCCGGTGAATAAAACTGATGTGATCACTCCATATTTTCGTATGGATTGTTCATTTAAAACACCTGAAAAAGATCCTGCATCCTTCTTATCTACTATGCCTAGCGTTCCATCTGTTGAAGAAACTCAGGATTTCAATACTTATTTAAAATCACTTGACCTGTAAGTTGTGTGTGTGTGTGTGTGTGTGTGTGTGTGTGTAGTGTAAATCATCTCAGCATAAACTGTATCTAATGTTGTTGCTTGTATTATCTCGTTGTTGATTGGACCGTATTGATCGGTCTTCATTGGCTTATGGGCTCCTTTGCGGAGGCCTCGATATTGCCTGTGTTTAAATTATATATTAATGATGGATAGTTGCTAGTAGTGGAATCCAGCTTGATGCCCATTTCGTCCTATTTGGAACAACAACATTAAAACTATGCCCATCGCACAAGTAACAGCTTGTTGGTCTAGTGGATAACGGTCTGGCGTTTGAAGCAATCGATGCCGAGTTCTGCTCCCAGTGGGAGTCAGATGCATCCAGTTGACGAGTCCTAAGTGGGACGAAACGCACCTCCTGGATTTCACTGCTCGTTACTATTCATCATTAATGTATAAACTATATCTGTTTGGATGATTTTTGATGTCGGCTAAACATCTCACAATGTTTTCTCTTCATTAAACTTCAATTTGTATATCAAATCTCTATTAGTTAATTTTTAAGGCAATATATTTGGAATGCACAATGTTATTGGATTAATAACGTATAGCTTTGTGATGATCAGCAGAGAAACCTCAATTGTGGTCTTCAATTCTTCAAGCTAGTATTCCACTCTACTACTAAACCTGTTCTTAACTAGATTTCAATTCTTTTTTACTCATCTAGTAAATGTATCCCTCTAAAATGTCATTAAAACCACCAAAGTAAACATGTTCCCTTTTTTTCACACTACTAATGTAAGTAGATCATTTTCCTGTAATCCTGAATTATATGGAGTTAAAGGATAAAATATTTTGTTACTCAGGATGCATATGATGACTTTCCACAGATTTCTCGATTATTTTTACTGGATGGACAACTGAATTCGGATAAATACTAAGGTTATCGGCACTTTCAACTTTGTGGATTGTTTGAACTACCACTTCAGCGGTAGATCATTTGTGTAGAAGGATAGTCATAATAATTGCAAAGGAAATACGGATAAGGAAGTACAATCATGAAGATGATAGTTTAACTATTCAGTTTTCAATTTAGAAATTCGGTACAGTTTGATTAATATTGTGTCCAAGATTTTATACTCCTTAGTTATCTGAGAACAGAAATGTCGAGAAAACCAGGCAGGTTTCAGACCTGGACGAGGGTGCATCGATCGTATTGTCAGCATACGACAGGTTCTGGAATACAGGCATACCTACCGGCCAGTGGCTGACACTTGTCATATTTCTTGACCTGAAGGCGGCATTTGACTAAGTCGACTATGAGGTGTTGTGACAGTGTTTGACTGTGAAGAGAGTGCCGAGCAAAGACATAACGCCAAAGAAAGCTCTGTACTTGAAGTCACGCAGTCATGTTAAGGCTTATGGGGAGTTGTCATGTGAATTGATGACAACTGGTGGTATCCACCAGGGATGCCCGCTGACACCGTTCCCACTTGACTTCGCCTTGAGTATATCTGACTTCACTGGGATTGATCTACTCCCTGGAGGTCATTTGTTGATGAACAGTATACCTTAGCATTTCCACCTTAAATTTTCTTCTAACGTAATCCTGCTTAGGCTGACATGGAGAGATGTTGGTGGTAGTTCAGCATACCTAGCTAATGTGCAAGTTAGATTATTTACTGAAGGTTCGCAACCTTATTAACTGGCTTGCTTTTTTGGCTAGTACTCTGAGCCTAACCTTAACACTGCTAGCTGGCATAATGGTTTAATTACATGCGAACAATACTACACAAATACCCATGATTTGAACTTTTAGCCTTTTTATGTCTTCTCAACAACCATATGTAACAATCATATAATAGTAAACCGTGGACTGTTGCCCAGTATACTTGTCTTTTGGTATGTGAGTAAATACCTCGTCAGAGATATGCTACAATTCTAGCAAAGCCAAAGGGACCCTTTCATACAAGTTGAGATTCCGTCGGAAACCAACCTTTTTGGCCTGAGGCAACTCGGTGTGTAAATGAAGTGGTCAGCGCATTCTGTCGCTTGACTCCGTACCCTAACAGTAAAAGTACTAGACTTATACCAAACGAATACTGATTTCTACTCAAAGCGCTCAGAAAACATTGTTTTGTTAGCATCTTCACCTAAGATGACTGGTTGTCTTCTGCGGGTGATGCCTTCTGGGTGACAAGTTTATCTGTGAGGACTCATAGGTGCATAGGGCTACTTTCACCAGCATATTTGTGCCAAATATATATAAGAATGTTGACTGATGATCACCGATGTATGTTGTAACCTCAGAAGATAATTATTCATAAGGTCTTACATAGGTGCTTGAGTTCGAATAGATAGCCGCTATTAGCTTCAGCATATTTTTCTAAACTTGGTGACATTTCACACCTGTTTAACATTTTTAAGCACCTTTATATTCATTTACACTACAGATGATGATTTTTTTAAACTTCACTCATGAATACTAGCATGTTAATCAGTTAACTTCGAAAATAGTTAACTTTTTGTACTTAAACAGCGTAATGAGAAGACGAAGATTATCTGAAACATGTCGTGATGTATTAGCGCTATACATTTCGAACAGTCTGATCACTTGTCGAACTATTTATGTGAAAATTTACGAAAATGGTCAATAAAGTTAATAGGAATAGGAAGGGAGAGAAAAAGAGAAAAAAAAACCTTACTCCTGGTATGAAAATTAAAATCAATACTACCAAGGTAGGTTCAACGTGAGTACAAATTGCTTTTGTACACATAAAGGGGGGTTGAATTTACGCATGGCAAGAGCTTTGATAAATTTAAGCACTCTGCTCTGACCACTTTTATTTAGTACTTTAAAGGCTGTTTTCATGTCTATCCTATAGTTAGTTTCTAGTATATGTTTAGCCATAGAAGAAGATGGATATTTGTCACCTTCACTTATCGGATCTGCTGAAATGTATAGCCCTAATATATACATCACATATTTCAGATAATTTTCGTCTTCTCATTACGCTGTTTAAATTTATCAAAGGGATCAGTGTTGCTTTAAATTTTCTGTATACTTAATTATCTATTGGTTATTTTTAGCGAAAATTTATCACCTGTATCACAAAGTCGAATAAAACAATTTCGAAACTTTGATGCTAATTCACCTATTGAGACTAGATTCTGTGAACCAGAATATGTTCTCGGTCTCAAATCAAATGTTGGTGGTCGATTACACTCTTGGATGCGTTTAAAAGAAGCTCCATGTAAGTGATTATAATTGTTTAATTTGAAATTTATTGTTTTTACTGATCTCGAACAGCAATAAACATAAAGTGTGTATAATCTTATTATTGTCCCTTGATCAACTGATTCTACTGACAAGTACAAAAGAAATTTTCCTTGATTATTTCAAATTTCATTAAGTTTTTGGTTGCATTATATTGTTCTCTTTCTCCATCTCTCGAGCATTGGGTAGGTACTTGGAAAATTGATAATCTTTTGTAATCCTTCTACTTTCGGACAGAATTTATTGTCCATAAAGATATCAAGATAATTATGGACAATAAATTGTGTCTGGAATGTAATCCAGTACATAATACTGTCTCACTGTGTGATATTATATCTAATAATCCAACTAAAATGGAATTACATTCTACCATAGTGCTGCCCAAGTTTCAGTAATCCTGTCAGTCAGTCTATAAAGCACATTATCTTATATTTCAAATGGACGTGAAAGTGAATTACCATTGTTGGATTTTAGTTTTAATTAAGTGGGGGATACGCTGGACCGAGGAAAAGATTCTAGAAGATTTGGATTTCGTCGATGTCTTGTGTCTAATGTCGCACAAACTTAAAGATCTACAGGCAAAAACTAACAAGTTTGACAGAAGAGGCAGCGAAGACGGGACTTCAGATGAACGTAGAGAAGACAGAGGTGATGAAGATACCCAACCAACACCATCAACAACAAGCTCCAATCACCATCAACGAGAGAAACTTAAAGGAAGTAGCCTCTTTCACCTATCTAGGCAGCACCGTTTCATATACAGGCGGCATGGATGAGGACGTCAAAGCCAAGATCGAGAGCAACGCAGATGGGAAACGGCGAGTTGGGCGTCCGAGGGTGACATGGAGGAGATCGTATGAGGAAGAAATAAGCGCTTTTGGGCAGTCGTCGAGCCAGGTTCAAAAGATTGAACCCAAGGGACAAAAAATAAATAATTATAATAAGTGGTCATCACTAGAACCATTTTCATTATGTTACCAACGTGTTCATCTAGTTGTGACTGTTCTTGTCATGAAGTCTCCTTTATTTCCACTCTCTTCTACTTTATTGACACAATGTTGAACATTCAGTAGAGTTAGCATTTCATCTTTCCTCAGTACAAATTTGAAAATTCAACTACTGTCTTATAAAAAAGAAAACAAAAGAACTTGTCTCAAAAGTAACTGCTTTATTTCAAAGTTCAAGTAAATCTATAATGAGATAACATGAATCATGCGTTAAACTTGGTCGACACCTTCGACCAAACTCATGCAAATATTTTACAATGGAATACGAAAATCAGGATAGATCCACTTTTTTTTAATCTAAATATAAGACGAACCTCGCCTATATTACTAACCAATCCTATACCCGCATAAATAGGGAAGGTTGGGCATAGGGCTAGCAACCCTACCCCGCAAAACCAATCCAATCGCTAGAAAAACTACAAAGCACAAAGAAATTATAAACAACAAAAATAAACTTATTCTTCGCTGGCGAGTCGGGGATACTAAATGATGCCAGTTGGTGAAAGCCTTCGGGAAGCCAACTAGCCGATATGTCTTCTCTCTCTCTCTCTCTCTCTCGATCAAAGCGAAAGTAAGAATGTGGACATGCAATGCCCACATAATGTTTGAAGCTCCCTGAAAAGGCTACCCGGATCGCGAATGAAATAAGAAGACATAGCATAGAAGTGCTACGAATCTGGGAGGAATCTGCAGATGGAATGGATGCGGACTCTCCAAACTGTCAACTCGAGAGTCAATAAACTACTCCGGTCACCCAGACAGAAACCCCGAGCACACTGAGTTTTCGAGTGGCTATCATGATGTCCCCCTCCCACGAGCACCGAAGGCTGTCTCTCATACAGTGGGAACCAATCTCCTCCTGCAGGATCAGCATCATGACAGCAAGATGGATTCAAATCAAAGGGAAGGAAAGTTACAATCGTACAGTGCTACGCTACACACCTACAAATAATGTAGATGAAGATAAGAAGGAGGAATTCTGAAGACAGCTGCAATCAGTAATGGACAAGACCCCACCCCAGATGGTGACGTCAAAATCCTAATGGGTGACATGTTTTAATGCCAAACTAGGAGCGGGCAACACGGAAAGAGAACTGATCATGTGTCGAGAGGCACTCAGTGAAGTGATGAATGAGAATGGAGAACTGTTAGCAGACTTCTGTGCATTTAATGATTTGGTGATTGGAGGCATTGTGTACAAACACAAAGATATTCACAAGGCAGCGACATGGATTTGACCACTCACCAGATGGACACACTACTAAAAATCAGATTAACTTCATCTCAATGTGAAGAAAGTGGATACGCAGCCTACTTGACACAAGATGAAGAAGAGGAGTAGGTGAGGGGTTCACACCACTCAGACATGGAAGGAAACCTGAATAACCGTGTTAGGAGGGAAGAAGTCAAAGACAAGACAAGACAAGGAATGGATCTCGACAGACACATGGAAGCTGATAGAGGAAGGAGAGGAAGATGGTGGAGCAGAAGCTGAAGCAGTGCAGTGCACGGATGAACAACGAAAAGAGGAAGTGAATACAACCTATGAAACACTACACTGGACAAAGAAGTGAAGAGGAGTGCGCGGAAAGACGAAATACACTCGTACGACACACTGGAAAGTGAACCAGAAGAGGCTGCAGGTAGTAGAGACAGAGACCTGACAACATTATATCAACTGACCAGGTTACTATCTCGGAGGGAATAGATAAACACAGATGAAATCAATGAGATAGTCAAGGAGACTTAGTTGCCACGAAACGAAGAGGAGAAACAAAGGAAACGATGGACTGACCACTTCGAAAAACTGTCGAATCGACCACCACCACCATCTGCAACTCGTCCAGAAATACCACCCGCCACCTCAGAACTACCAGTGAACACAAGCCCTCCAACAGAAGCAGAACTCAAGTCCTGAACTCCATAAAGTTGCTGAAATCCGGGAAAGCAGCAGGACCAGATAGAATTACTCCAGAGACAACAGCGGACATGCTCACACCACTATTGCAGAAGGTTTGGAAGGTAGGAGAGGTACCTGCTGATTGACTGGAAGAAGGGCTGTCAAACTGCCAAAGAAGGGGGACGTGGACTGCGTCTTTGCAAGGACTGGCGCGGGATCATGCTGCTGTCCACCGAAGGAGGCAAGATATTACGCCACATGATACTGGAGAGACTAAAATGTGCTCTGGATTCGAAATTACGACTGAAGCTGTCTGAACAAAAGGTGAATCATTGCTTCCAGATATGTGATAACTTTCCAAGCTACATTGAATTGTAGTAAAATGCAATAATTTCAATTGAAGGTAGTCTGCAAGAAGATTAGAATACAGCTAGATTGTATTTTTCTCTCTTTCTAACATCATCTACTTCAATGAAGTAAATATCACCTCTTGTATTGTTGAATCAGTAGAGAAATTTGTCATGTGTGTTAATTGAACTGTCTCATACATTTAGAAATTCATTAAAAAACATGACACTACTTTTTATTTGTCTCATCTGAAAGGCTGTTCAACAAATGAGTTTTCATAATGTTTTTTTGAAACAGATATGATCATGCTGTGACTAACCAACACTCATTGAATGAATAGGAGGAATAAATTGTTTCATAAACATCGAATATATATTACAGACTACGCACATGTATACGACACCACATAAGTGACACATTTGGGAAAACTAGATGTCTTGGGAAGCGTTTGAGTAACCATTGAATCAAAATGTTGAGCATATTCACCAATTTAGAGAATTTTGAATTTTTTACTCTCTGCATTACCCTGAACAAAGTTAAAATCATGAGTTTGGTATAGTCGGATTATTGATTCATCACATCCTGTTGCTCTCTCCCTCTTTTTCCATTTAGTAATAAACTGGGTTGAAGGCTAAAGCTCTAGAAAAGGACTAATTCTTGGCTTTATTCACACCTCTTTCTTTCCAGACGAAATAAGGAAACCTAATTGGTTATTTCAATCGTTGTTAGGATAATCTTTTCAAAGTCATTTGGAAAGACACAGTCTGTTGAAATGTTGGGGATGAGTGCTTGTGGGAATTAAGAAGTCTTAAATTTCTAAATTGGAATGCAGCATGATGGTGTTTTTCAAATAATTGAAAAACAACGAAGGATATACGAGTAAGAAGAAGAAAATCACTAACTTGTGATTAGCTCTACATGACGAAGTAGATTTCAACTTGGCTCTATAAATTGCTTATCCTAAAGTATCTTTCAACATCTACGCCATGCTAGTGTAGCTTCATGTGCCTTTCTACGTCGTTTAACTAGTCGTCATGACATGCATATTCATACTTTCCAGTGCAATTGTCTTGTAGGGTTTACACATGGGGTGATAAACACAACTGAAGGAAGAGGTAGCCTCCAGTGAAGGTTGTTAGTGCAGTAATAGCAGTGTGTGATAGAAGTGTGCAATGAATGATTCGCTGCTAATATGTCCATACGGTTTTGGATTTCTGTTGTAGTTAAGGGTTTCTTTAGGCAAATAAACAAAAGCTCTTGAATCAACCACCACCACCATCTGCAACTCGTCCAGAAATACCACCCGCCACCTCAGAACTACCAGTGAACACAAGCCCTCCGACAGAAGCAGAACTGAAGTCCTGAACTCCATAAAGTTGCTGAAATCCGGGAAAGCAGCAGGACCAGATAGAATTACTCCAGAGACAACAGCGGACATGCTCACACCACTATTGCAGAAGGTTTGGAAGGTAGGAAAGGTGCCTGCTGATTGACTGGAAGAAGGGCTGTCAAACTGCCAAAGAAGGGGACGTGGACTGCATCTTTGCAAGGACTGGCGCGGAATCATGCTGCTGTCCACCGAAGGAGGCAAGATATTACGCCACATGATACTGGAGAGACTAAAATGTGCTCTGTATTCGAAATTACGACTGGAGCTGGCTGACTGGTTGGATTTAGGAAGAACAAATCATGTGACGATCGAATGGCAGCGTTAGGCTACGC